CAAGTTATGACACCAATTAACGCCTTATATTCAAATTATTAAGAGTCCGAGAACGGATTTGTGTGACACATGGCAACATTTTCGGAACGGCTTACAATACATGCTCGCAAAGAATAAGCGAAAGATTTATTGAAAAAATTCCAAGAACACCTAGTTAAAACCAAATTAGAGAGAAACTATTACAGCAAAAATATAAAATTAGCAGAACAACAAAGAAAATTAGTAGACGAGCATTTTATAACAAGAGGTAAAGCTGAATTAAAAGATTGAATAAAGACGAAAAATATTTAAATATTACTTGTGATAATGCTGGTGGTCAGAATAAAAATAATGCTACCATTTGATTTTATTTGTATTTGGTAATTTGTGGTTACTATTACTATGAAAGTAAATTTAAATTTCATGATAAAAGTTATCGATCACAAGTCACGAGATATTTGGAAGTTAGGTTTAATATAGGCAATTTTGACTACGAAGTAATAGAGCTTTATTTTTTTGCTAGTAACTAAACGAACTCCATTTTGCGATGCAGATTTATTTTGGGCTGGTAAGTCCATTTGTCGCATTATTTATTTACATTATTTGCATTACATTACTATACCGTCCCTTCTACTAGGATCTCTTCAGGTGGGTGATGCGGATCGATCCCTTTGATCGATTTGTGATGGTATGCAAGCTTTCATCATCTTGTAACCTTTTTGTCCAATAATTTCCTTACACAAGATCGATCTCGTGTGACCGTACCACAGATCTCCCATCGCCAAAAATAATAATATGACAGGAAATTTTTCTCTTCTTTTTTTTTTTCTTGCAAACGAGTCGAAACTACTGCTGAAAGGCACACACAAAACAATGGCATCTGACAATGCTAAAACTCAATCGAATAACCAACCGCTGGTTGGCGTGATTATGGGATCTGATTCGGACTTGCCAGTGATGAAAGCATGCGCTGAAATATTGAAATCTTTTGATGTCCCATTTGAAATATCAATAATTTCGGCCCATCGAACGTTTTCGCGTATGGTAGAGTATACCCAGTCTGCACAAAAAAGGGGTTTAAAAGTTATTATTGCCGCTGCTGGTGGTGCTGCTGCCTTACCCGGGATGGTTGCAGCCCTTACGTCTTTGCCGGTAATCGGCGTACCTATCCAAGGAAAGTGTTTGGACGGTGTAGACTCGTTATACAGTATTGTCCAAATGCCTGTAAGTAAAGCCGTTTCGTTTCGTGTAACTATGCGATTGACTCTCCGTATCTTAATTATCTTTCGCTTCAATCTCGATCGATTACATAGCGCGGTATACCTGTGGCCACCGTGGCTATTAATAATTCTGCGAATGCAGGATTGTTGGCAATACGTATGCTGGGAGCGTTCGTCCCTGAGTACTATACAAAGATGGAAGCATTCTTAAAGAAACAAGAGGAGGGCGTTCTTGCCAAGGTTGATCGGTTGGACAAGACTGGATGGGAAAATTATTAATGCGATGAGACGCAACAATAAAGCCTAATGATATTAAACGTACTTCTAATTACTTTTCAAATCGTTCAACGCATTGGTTGTGAGTCTATAATGAACAAGAGAATATTGTAAAGTTCAGTAACCCACTTCTGCGGCTAGTGAACTCACCATAACCAGCAGGCAAATGCCTGTAATAGTCTTTATTATATGTACAACTGAGATTAATTTTCATCATTCTATATTTCGACTTATCAATTACTCTGTACGCACGCGCGACTACAAATAAAGGGACAAGATTAGCGAATTCGCCATTAACTTTGGTACCTTAGTATATACTGTACTCACTCTACTACTTCCATCTGCCTCATCAGCTTTTCTCTTTCCCTTCTTACGCCGTTTTTCTTCCTTCTCTTCGTCACTATTCTCCTCCAATCGGAATATCTTTACGCGTTCCTCCATCAGGCGGCGATTCTCCTCTATTGCTTCTTGTTCCGCTTTACGACGAGCTTCTTCTTCGGCCTATAGTAATGATATTATATTTGTAGAAATTCTACGACAGGGTCTCTGGTTCTTCTCCTGGTATTCATTTTATGCCACTCACCATCGCTTGTGCTCTCTTCTTCTGCAATTCTTCGTATTTTCGTTTACCCTCTAATGCGGCTTCCATTTTCAGACGTTCGTATTCTCTCTGCTCATCAAGCTTTGCTTTGCACGTGTGTATTAATGAGACACTATAGCGTTCACGGTTGGTGAGTTCATATCGAGTTACGTTGAAGGCTTCTGTTTCGGGCATTCCCATTAGTGTTGAGAAAGCACTATTCACCAATAAAAAATGCAAATCGTCAGCAAAACGGCTTGGCCCCTGGAATGGTATTTTATCATCTTCGACAACACGTACGTTTTTGCCCAGTTAGCTCGACCCACTGCTTTATTCAACTGCTTCAAAGACCGTTCGGTCACATTTCGCTCAGTGATAGTCGCGCAGTATACTTGTGCTAACATGGCCATGTTGTATATGATTAACACGTTTGTCGGTTGCAAGTGATGTGCCTTCTCTGTCCAGCGTAATGCCAAGTCCACTGAAAAATGATCGCGAGTTTCTTTCGAACGAAGGTAATGAGCACGCGCTATCCAGAGAAGTATCTCTGGGTTTTTGTGTTTATATCGCTTCTTTGAGACCGACTCGTACTGTGCATGACAAAATTCAATATCAAGAACGTGCACATGGTGTAAATTCAGTACATGGAGACGTACATAGGATTAAGGAAATCATGAAAGCGGCATATGTGCCAGCATAAAAACTAGTGATCTGACATTCATACTAACCGTAATTGCAGCTCGTTCATATTCTCCAGTCTCCACGCAGGCATGCGCCAAATTAATATTGATCTCAGGACTGTATGAGGCAACATGTTCTCGCAACTAACAGAAATATAACATAGCAAAATTAATAAGCATATAACCCAACTCTTTGTGACATGTAACATTTCTGCCTTACTTTAATAAACACGTCCTTGGCCTCATGAACTCTACCCGTTTCGGCCATGGCCACTGCAACTCCATTGGCGGCATAAAAATTAAAACCATCCAGCTGCAAAATTCTCCGAAAGAATTCGCAAGCTTTCTGATACGCCCGTGCTCTTTCGTCGTAATCATCCTTCTTATCCCTCGCTGTATTTAACCAAAAACATCCCAAAACTGTCAATGCATATATGTTATGCTTATCGCATGTAGACAAGAGTTTCTCAAATCCGTGTCGGGCTGTTCGATAATGATGTTGTTGCGTGGCCAGCGTAGCCAATCGTATGCGTGCCTCGGTGTCGGTTTCAAGATCAGAAATAATCTCTTTGTAAATTTCCTCAGCCTTACGGTAGTTACGATCCTTCTCTTCGAGAACGCCTAAACGTAGGCGGGCTCTATTATAGCCCGGATTCATACGAACAATTTCCGTGTGTACTTCCTTCGCTTCCTCGTTTCGGTTGAGTTGTTCGTAGGTTAAACCGATGTTGTACATTATACCAGTTATTAGGCGGCTTTTTTCCGAATCAGGAAGAGATTGTACAGTCTCGAGAGCTTTCTTGAAACAATCCAAGGCATCGTTAAGGAGTTTCTGTACTGAGGAGCTTGACGTTGTAAAAGAACGGCGATATTGAACATAACCAAGCTCATTTAAGAGAGCAGGTGGAACCAGCTCACCACGTTGTTCGTAGATCTCAGCCGCTTTCATGAAAGACCGCCGACTCTTATACAAGTTCTGATCTTCCCATAGTCGACCTAATTCAATGTGAATAGTCGGGTCTGTCAACTCCTCATGTTTTAGAGCACTTATTCCTTCAAGATCTTTACGCACTTCTGGTATTATATCTTTATCCATGTTTATAGTTTTTAGGGCGCAGAGTACAGTTCTGGCGTCTATATCGTTTCTATCTTTCTGTAAAACACGTTCGAATTTCTCTTTTGCCAAGTTGTATTCTTTTCTATGAAGCCAACACTGACCAAGACCAAACTGGGCTGGGATATGGTCATCAAACGCAATGACAGCTTGTTGATAGTGATAAAAAGCCTTTTCCCAATCTTCTAATATGTGAAACACGCGTGCTTGTTGATAGTGAGATTCAGCTAAAATAGGACGCGAGTCATGATAGACTTCTGCTCGTCTTGCCAAATCTAAAGCGGTCTCTAGATCTCGTTTAAGAAAGAAGTAATTTGCTAGAAGATTTAAAGCCATAGATTGTTTGGGATTAATCTTATGGGCTTGCTTCAACCTGTGTAATCCATCTGAAAAGTTTTCGAAACGCTCTTCACCCGATATCTCTGTATTCTTCGCTCCATTAAAGTCCATAGTAGCGAGAAGAATCAGTGCAGATACATTATCTGGATTAACTTTAACAGCTCTCTCAAAAGCGTAATAAGCTTCTCCATACATGTTAAGCTTATTATAACACAACCCAATCCCAACTCGTGGATCTGGTGTGTTTTTGGGTGCAAGCTTTAGAATGTGTTGGTAAGTCCTCAATGCCTCTTTGTAATTCTTTTTCAAATACAATATGCGAGCTCTGCCAAACAGTGCCATAAGATTATTAGGAGAAAATTCTAGTGCATTGTCGAACGCACGCGCAGCCAAATCACCGTCATTCCTTGCAAGATATAAAAGACCCTTCCCTACCCATGTAATAGGGTTGCGGGAGTCAATTTGTGAAGTCTGGTTATAACGCTCAGTGGCTTGCGCATAGCAAGTTGCTCTTTCATCTTTTGCAGTGCTGGGCAGCGTTCGACCTTTCCTTATATATAAGCTAGCCAAGAGGTTAAGTAAAGCGACTTTTGACTGATCGTTGCCAGGTGCGTTCAAGCCTTGTTCAGCCATTGCTATCGCATCTTCATCCTGATCCCTCTTTGTGAATTCTATCGCAAATAATAAGTAATATAACATCTCTGAATTTTCTTGATTCAAGATGTCAAAGATTTCTCCTGCGTTATGTACTTGCGACAGATCTATTTCGACTACTTGATCAGTCTTTTTGAGGGGCACTTCAACCACGTCTTTCTTTGATCGATTTATCAAACTTCGAAGACTCTTTCCATCATAATCCTGGCCGACATCTTCCATATCAACTTCTTGTATTTCACTACTGAAAGCAGCGTCAGTTTGTACGCTACCGTTATATTGATACATCGCACTTAATGAGTCAGAAGGCCTGCTTTAAAGACTTTGTATATATATATATGATAGACAGTCTCTAGCCGTCAATCAAAGCAGATCACAGCTCGTAAAAGAAAAGAAAGTAAAACGGGCTTGAAAGAATGAAATTGAACGTAACAATCGTCCGAGCTGGAAGTCGTGTAACCTTACTATTACGATTAATTTTTAATCGTCCGGCAAAAGCGCATTATTATTATTAATTATCAACTTACACAATTAATATACACATGTCTCTTGAGTCAATAGCAGATACAGCGACCCAACTCTTACAGATAACTCTTAGAGCTAACGTTGGGTTTGCTGAGCTATCAACTGCCAACGATAAATCTATCTTTACTGCTAAAGAAAAAGAATTGCTTCAACTTGTTAATCACTTGGAATGGATAAAACATCAACAACGCGAATACGAGTATGTGATAGAGAAACGTGAGTATCCTACTCTCTTAGTTCTTGTATACTGCACAGCATTACTTTTCCTTAACTTATTCTTGCTTTGGTTGTAGAAAAACTTGAGTTTGCTGAGACGAATGACTTGCGAACGGAACACGCACTTGCTAGACAGATTGATACACTGAAAAAAGAATTAGCTAAACAAGTTTCAGCAAATTTTGTAAAGAATGAGGCGATAAAAACGTGAATATCTAACCTTATCGATTTTCTACGTGATTTCATTGAATAATTTGACTTGTTAATAAGCAGTTACTATAAGTGTTGAAATAGGAAAATCAATACTAAATTCACAGTTCTCAGACGCAAAGACGAATTCTTCACCAGAAGCGATGTATGTAATGGTATTGCTTTTTTGAATTTAATCAATTTTTGTATTTACAACTTGTAAAATTTGATGCAGAATTCTGAATGAGCTCGTAGAAGAGCGTGATCAATATGTTAGCGAATTTTTATTGATGCATCAGGAACTTGTCAAAGTCCAATCCGAATTGTCAAAAGTGCAACTGGCGATAATAGGTTTTTTTTTTTTTTGACTGCTATGGGTTATAACATATTCGCACTGATGGCACCACGTCTTATTTGTATCAGCACGACACGAAGACAACCGCGAACTTATGAAAGAAATAAATGATGCTTTTGATATTTCAAAGACAGCATCATCATCTACGAATAGCGAGGCAAAAGCACTGCAAAAGTATGTGTACTGTGGTGCTATGTGATATGACATGACATATTATAATTATTTGTTTCATCTGACGTCTTGTTTAGGTCACATAAGGATGTGATTGCAAAAAGAGATATTATACGGAACGTTTTGCAGGTATTTGGTGGCGTATTTAGCGGGTTACGCGTAATTGTTTTGGCATTGCAGTGATTTTATCTTGGGTTTTATTTTGTCAATACTTATGCTTTCTGCTTCAAAAGGGTCTTGTTTTAGAAAGCGGAGTTCGATGGACGAAGGACGGACATTTGTTGAATATCATGTTAATGATTGGTCAAGAGCTGTAACTACTTGT